ATACTTGAGTTTTTACATGTTTAAGATTAGTAAGCGTTTTGATTAACCTATATAATGGACGCTTCACGATAGAAAATATGGAACGCTTTTAAATACCCCGGTACGACCGAGGATGGGGAGAGCCCATTCTTCCTCTCCAAATGCTCTCATATGGACACGCGAATACAGTCACTATCAGGCAAGTCCTATTCACTGCCTTATCAACACTGGGATGTTGTTTATGAAACCGAGAGGACAAAAGAGAATATTATGTGCTTTAACCTGGTTAGTGGATATGGAGGATTCACCCAGAAAAGTTAGAAAACCCTAATTCCAAACTAATGGTGCACATGGGCTCCAGGATCCTGATAAAACAAATGGCGTATGAACCAATTATTTGTCACCGGTTACCATGGAACTGCCATTCCTAATGTTGCTTCACTGCCTTGTGGATCAGACCTTTAGGTCAAAGGTTCCGGGTGTGACTCACTATGTAAATCGCTTGCTTCAGTTTGGGCACCTAAGCAGTATCATAACTCACACACAAATCAAGTGACTTGTATGGCGCATATGTATTTACATTTACTTATCTTCGGATGTTTGATTACATTCTTCAACAGTTCATCTCATGAACGATATGTATGATACTTATTCTCTTGTACTAAGTTCCAATTACCCCTAGTGTCATCGTTCCGTGCATTAGCAAATTGTAATGCTGAAAAGTAGAAAAAAGAATACTCATCCCAATGGTAAATCCTATCCAAATCATCAAGATTATTCTCTGAATTAAACTGAATAACAAACCAGAACTACTTATTTCTAGAATCAGGATGGTGTATGCTACTTATGTTGGCAGATATAAGTAGTATGTAGCATCAAGCAAAAGTAGTATACCTGAAAAGAATGAAATGAAAGAGGAAAAAAAATAGAAGAAAATTGAAAGCAATCAAAATAATAGCAAGAATGAAGAACCAATTGAGTCTGTAAGAGACAACTGATGGAAGATCTGTATAGTTTTCATAGTTTATTCCTGTTCATTGACTGGATACCATCATCCAAACAACCAACCTACTGTAGGAAATAATAAATCAGCTTCCATTTGAAAAGGAAATCGGAAAAGGACACTAGAAGTGAATAAGACATACATTGTAGAATTACATCAGACTGTATCATGAGGCAAGCTCTAACATGGAATACTGAAAGGAAACGAAAAAGAGGAAGATCAAAGAATTGAATGCAGACATGAAATAGATGATCAAGGACAGAGTTGAATGGAGAATGCTAATGGTTGGTCTATGCTACTCAATGAGTTGTAACAGGTGTACATACATAAGTTCTTCAATCGATCTTCCCATTACATATATCTATAGCTTAATATTGGCATGTTTACTTACACCTTACATAGTTCAATACCATGTTAGTTACTACATAACTCAATATCCGTCATCGTCAAATTTTGTTGTTCAATTCAGAAGAACAGTAAACATGTTTAGACAATGATGACTTGTTTGCTTTGTTTTTATCAACAACAAAAAAACATGATTAGAAATACAAAACAATGATATATGTATCATAGATATAGTTCATGTCTGATTTGCTATTTTCTTTCTAAAAGCCTCAATCAATCCCTTTTGTAGTGGTTTCTAACCACCACCCACCCACCCCCTTCCAGCCAAAATGAATTTGGTAAGACTTAGTGGGATCTTCTGGAGAAGTGGCTATATCGAAACACGGCACTATTACAGGAGGAGTGATAGCTGAGTTTGCAGTTAAAGATGTGCTATTTCTTTTCTTTGTAGCACTTGTAATCGTTTATGAGTATCGGTCGAGTGTCTGATTAGTTCGATCTCTATCACCTAGTTTACTACTCATATTAGTTCATGAGATAAGTCTCACTATCCAGGAGGTATGAAAAGGATGTGTGAGTCGGGTTTTATCTCCCAGTGGTTTACAGAGTGTTATTCAATGTTTGTTGATTAATGAAGAACTCGACATTAGTTCAGTGAGATCAAAGTATGTTACATAGACAACTGTTTACCAATAGTTGTACCTTTTTGATGATGGTTGTGGTAGTTCTGCACGTTTCACCTCCATACAGTAAAACTATCTTGACGTTCGTATTGAAGATTGTGACTTTGATATTGGTTAACAGACAGCTGTTTTGAGTTCCATGTGTTCTTTAACTGTAGGACTACTGTTATTGCTTTTCAATCTTCACCTTTACGTCTGCACCAGATCCTTCAAGTTCATAGATCATGTTACTCAGAGACGTGACTGTTTACACTTGTTCTACAGTTTCTCCATCGATTGTGATTGGTTTGGTGTCAGTATTTGATGAAACTCACTGAGTTAGTGAGATGAGAACTTTCACGTACCTAGGTAACATCATCGATAAACAAAAAGGCCGCATACTATCAGCAACAGCCTACTGTGAGGGACAAAAAATCGGCTTCCAATTGAGGAGAAAATTAGAAAAAATCGTTGAAAGTGGATAGGACATACATGACAAAAATCACCAAACTGCATCACGAGGTAAGCCCTAACTTGGAATCCTGAATGAAAGCGGAATGCCAAGGAACACATATGTCGGGAAATAGAAGCAGATATGGAAAGGATGAATAGAAACTGGAAACATCTGGAAAGGATTGCCCAATATTGGGTTGGATGGAGAATGTTGGTGGTCATCCTAATGTCCTCCACGATAAGAGATATATTTCCATAGTAGCCAGTGACCAATAATAGGTTCAAACGTCATTTGTTCCTTCAGGATACTGGAGTCCATGTGCATCAATGGTTTGTAATCAAGGGTTTTTAACTCACCTAGGTGAATCCTTCATATCCACCAACCCGGCTAAAGCACCGGATATACACATTTCGTCCTCTCAATTTCATATGCAACATGCCAGTTTTGAGAAGGCAGTGAGTAGGACTTCCCTGTCAATGGTTGTATACAAGTGTCCATGTGAGATCATTTGGAGAGGGATAATTGACTCTCCCCACACTCGGACATACCAGTTCATTTGCGGGCTAGAATAATCTTTATCAACTCAACATAGGATCAGCTACTACAACCCGCCGATTCTGAACCCCAATTACAATTAATTCATTTGTGCTTTTCTAAATCTGTCTTCGTTTAATTACACTGTTTCGGGAATTCCTAGTAAGTACATTATTTCAAAGATTGTCATACCTAATTTAAAATAAGTTGACTACCCCTGTAGTGTATACTACTTATACTGACAGATAATAAGTAGCATGTAGCGGCAATTGAAAGTAGAATACCTACCAGCAAAAGATTGAATTAAAGAGAACAGCAAAGAAGTCGGAGAGAAATCAAAATAACAACAGAATTAGAGTTATACTAAGTAAGTTAACATGTCACAAGATCGAGGCAGCATTTCCTCTCTCTTTCTCTCTCTCTCTCTCTCTCTACGTATTGAACATAAACTAGTAAGTAGACAAATCAGGGTCGTAATGCTGATTTCGTTGGGAAAACGAAAGCAATACATTGTCGTTTCTTCCTAGTTTGTGACCTCTCAACAGTCACAAATGATTGATCATTGGGTGGTGATCAATGTCATGTGTATCAAGTCCTTCTTAGTGCAGATCGAATGCTATCGACCAAGTTGCAACGTGTCCACTAGTCTAGGTGACTTGACATTTTGTGCACCATATCGAGATTAGATGGTGGTTGGAGGTGGTCAACAGGAAACCCTGGACCCAGGTTACATGCTACTTTGATAGCCCAGTGGTGACGTCTCTGAGTGTGAAGCTTGGTGACATGCAATCGAATCCGTCAGGGAGCACTAGTTCCCTCAAAATTATAGGTACACCTTGCCGACGAGTGCCAAATAGCATGGAGCCCGGGTCCAGGGTTTCCTGTTGACTACATCGAACCACCAACTCAACTCCTCAACAAAGTGCATCCACGATCGCGAACGTGACACTCGAATCCGAGACCTTTGGTCTCGAGCGAGAACGCTTAACTTCTACACCACTGAAACCGGTATCCAACAGTGTTAATGTCTAGCTTCCATTGAACCATGATCTTGCTCAACTCTTCATCGATTGTTTGAGGTAGACAACTATGTCATACCCGACACGGATTGAATCCCACTGTTCACAGCTTCTCACTAGAACTACATCAAATCCATCTTGAAGCTATTGAGAAGAGAACACGTGTCAATTATTATCAGAAAGAGGGTTTTGTGGAGATTGTAGTAATTTCACTCATTATATTCTCAAAGCGATTCTAATGAGGACTACTCAATAGATCGGTATCTGATACCAATTAAAATCTGTATTGACCCACTTTTATCAAGAGAACGCGATTGGTGTAATGGAACGATCTCGGTATTCTTCCAACACCACAAGATCACCAACAAATACATTTCGACTACAGCCATCAACTGCCTACCGATATTTGGCTTACGGGGGATCTTATCGGTTAACTGGCACGTAGTCTTCCTGTAGTGGTGATCATAGTCAACCGTGACTCGACGCCGTACTACAAATCTATGTGTGATTATAAATTACTTTTAAAATAATAAATGTGTATAAAATTGTATTTTATTTTATTATATTTGACAGACGATATACTTCAAAGGATCTAAACAACTTATTTCAATTTAACTAATTAAGTTTTTCATTGAGATGATGAACCGATTGATGTTAGATCATGATTGAAAACCTGAAAGCACTGGATGGTCATTTCGTCCTATTGTGGGACTCCTCAGTAGTGCGCATCCACGATCACGCTCGTGGAATTAGAACCCAGGGCCTTCAGTCTCGCGCGCGAACGCTTAACCTACTGTACCACTGAACCGGTATCCAATGGTGTTAATGTCTAACGTCAATCAATCCACGAATGGTGGTCTTACATCAATCGATTCATGATTTCAATCAAAAACTTAACAATCTCTATAACTCCTCTACTGATAATTATGTTTTATAAATAGAAATGAATAAGGGCTAATTCATATAATTCCCCCCAAAAAAACAAAATTAGAAAACAATATTTTAACTACTTATTATTATATTAAAGTAGTATAAAAATACAATTGTTTAAGGATGGGGAAAAATCATGATTTCATTGAAATTACAATCATTTTATCCATTATAATAAAAGAAAATTACATTATGCATTATAATCATAACTGTGCTAATAAATTCTATTCAATACTACAATGAAGCAATATAAGCTACTTATAATCATCATAATAAGTAGTTTTATATTTATACATAAATAAATAGATTCAATGAAATGATACAAATACTCATGAATAATATATTCATCATATATGTATTTGCTGAATTTGGAATTGATCTTAATCTTCTAGTTAATTCATCTAATATTTGTTGAAATTGTTCAAGTTCTTTACGTAATTCTTCTTTCATTTCATTAGATGCTTGATTCAAAAGTTCATATTCATAATGTTCATCATCAGTAGAGTTTCCACTGAATACTACTGGATAAGGAGAACTGTCATGATGGTCTCCATTTCCTTCGGTACTTCTGTTGTTACTATTCTCCTCAGATTTTATACGTTTTAATGATAATAATTGTAAACTAATAAAGATAATGATCCAAATGTTTCTATGATTCATGAATGATTCAATAAATCAGTAATATCAAATGATAAATAAAAGGTTTGTTATTTATATACCCTAAATGGTTACATGTTTTGTTGACTCTATAGTGATTTGTGTTAGTTTCGATACTGATTCATGAAATGAAAACATGAATTTCTTTTCTTCTTTTTTTTCTCTCCTTTTTTTTCTTTTTTTCACTGTTTTTATTGTAAAAGTGACAATTTTTTGTTTTGTTTTTTGTCTTTTGTTTTGTTATAAATGAAAGAAAAAAAATGACTAGAAATGATGCCATTAAGTTAACTTGTATGTTATATGAATGTGTATTTAAATGATACGTTTATTATCAGCCCCCCCACACACACACTTCAAACGCCCTGGTATGACTGAGAATAGGGAGAGTCAGCTCTCCCTCTCGAAATGTTCTCACATGGACACTTGTATACAACTATTGACAGGGAAGTCCTACTCACTGCCATCTCGCACCATGCGTGTTGTTTATGAAATTGAGAAAACGAAATGTAAATATCCAGTGCTTTAAATGGGTTTGTGGATATGGAGGATTCACCTAGGGGAGTTGAAATAATCCTGATTACAAACCATTGATGCATATGGACTCCGGTATCCTGAAGGAACAAATGGTGTATGAACCAATCGTTGATCACCGACTATCATCGGACTGCATCTGATTACGTTGCTCCACCGCCTTGTGGATTAGACCTTTAGGTCAAAGGCTCCGGGTGTGACCTTCTCGGAAAGCCACTTGCTTCGGTTTGAGCACCCGGACAGTATCCTAGCCATCATGCATATCTGTTTAGTGCCTCCTTGTACCAATGTTTATGTGTTTAAATAATAATAATAATACTGAGTAATTAAATTGTTCAGGAGTTTTATACTACGACAAAACGGTCATACAGTGCTTCCAAGTTTTTACTAGTGGTCTAGCATTGAATGACTCATGAATTCAACTATGAAAATTACTATAATCTCCAGCAAACCCACCTTTCTGATAATAATCATAATACGCTCACTAGTGACAGTCTCCAAGATGTATTTCCTGAAGTTCTATTGAGAAGCCATGTTGGATAGAGACAGAAATTTACTTCAGACAATCAATGAATAGTTGTGTAGCCATTCATGGATCGATGGAAGTTAGACATTGACATCTTTGGATGCCGGTTTAGTGATATGGAGATTAAGCATGCGATTGTAGATGTACACTGTTGAGGAGTCCCATACTAGAGAGATACGGCCGTGTATTTCTTCTACGTTTTCAAGGGTTTTCTAGGTTAGATTTGCTTATGAATTCTACTATTAAATTACTATAATCTCTACCAGATCATCTTTCTGATAAATTTTAAATGGTCATATATTATTCAATTTAAGAAACAAACGCATAACTGTAACTAATAGAAGGTATCCACGTCAGTACAACGGAAGTTGGTCGCGCAATTTCGTGAATTGGTTGATGTTAGAAACTATCACCATTGGATGCCGGCTCAGTAGTCCAGTAGGTTAAGCGTTCACGCACGAGACTGAAAGCCCTGGGTTCGAATCCCGCGAGCGGGATCGTGGATGCGCACTGCCAAAGAGGAGTCATACAATAGGACGAAACGGCCGTCCAGTGCTTCCAGGTTTTCAGTTGTGGTGGTCTAACATCAATCGGTTCATGATCTCAAAAAAATAATAGAACTGAAGTCAAACAGAATGGTTATTACAAACTATAAACAGTAAGATATATCTAATTATGAGGCAGGATTCTCTATAAACAAGAAGGATTCAATGTAGATGTAATGCCAAGGATTGGAAAAGCAACAACAGCATTCCTACAGTTGATGAACATATGGAACTCAAAACAACTCTCAACCAATATCAAATTTACAAGCTTCAATATGAATATCAAGTTGGTTCTACTGTATGAAGCTGAAATGTGGAGTAATACTATAACCATCATCAAGAAGGTACAAGTATTAATAAATAATTATCTGCACAAGATACTTAATGTCCGTTTAATGGATACCATCAGTAACAACCTACTGTGGGAGACAACAAATCAGCTTCCAGCTGAGGAGGAAATTAGGAAAAGACATTGAAAATGGATAGGATATACATTGAGGAAACCACAAAACTACATCACGAGTTAAGCGCTAACTTGGAATATTGAAGAGAAACGGAAAAGAAGGAGGCCGAAGAACACACTGAGTCGAGAATTAGAAGCAGTCATGAAAATGATGAAAAGCAACTAGAAGTAACTGTATAGAATTACCCAGGACACAGTTTGTTTGAGTATGCTGATGAGCAGCCTATGCTCCAGGACGAGGGGTGATAGGCATAAGTAAGTTGGAATGAAATGACTTAACTATGAACGAAGCTTAACTGAAGGCTAAGTAAATTTTTTAGTGTAGATCGAATCCTATCCACCAAGTTGCAATGTAACCAGTAGTCTAGGTGACTCGACATTGCATGCACTATGTTAAAATAAGATGGTGGTTCGAGGTAGTCAACAGGGTTTTCTGTTGACTACCTCGAATCATCATCTTACTGATAGATATGTTAATCAATATAAAAATAATGGAGGTTAGTTGTGTGTTAACCACTTATTGATATAATCAACAATTACTTACTTACTCACTTACTTACTTAAGCCTGTTACTCCATGTCGAGGAGCATAACTTACTTACTTACTTACGCCTGTTACTCCCAATGGAGCATAGGCCGCTGACCAGCATTCTCCAACCCACTCTGTCCTGGGCCTTCTTTTCTAATTCCATCCAATTCTTGTTCATTTTTCTCATGTCTATCTCCATTTCTCGGAGTAATGTGTTCTTTGGTCTTCCTCTTTTCCTTTGACCTTCAGGATTCCATGTGAGGGCTTGTCTTGTGATGCAGTTGGGTGCTTTCCTCAATGTGTGTCCTATCCAATTCCAGCGCTTCTTCCTGATTTCTTCCTCCGCTGGGATCTGATTTGTTCTCTCCCACAGTACGTTGTTGCTAATAGTGTCCGGCCAATGGATATGAAGTATTTTGCGTAGACAATTGTTGATAAACACCTGTATTTTCTGGATGGTGGCTTTTGTAGTTCTCCAGGTTTCTGCCCCATACAGTAGAACTGTCTTGACATTTGTATTGAAAATCCTGGAGTCCCTCCGGGGGCTACTGCCGGTCCCAAGCCCGGATAAAGGAGGAGGGTTGAGCATGGGTTTAGCGTCCCCATCCCGTAGAAAACTAACTCGCTAAAAAAACGCTAACCAGAAAAAATTATTCAAATTATTCGAGGAGCATAAGCCGACCATCAACTATCTCTATTCAACTTTGTCTTGGACAATCCTGTCCAGTCGTTCCCGATTGTTATTCATCATCATTAATTGCCAACGTAGTGAGTTGTTTAGTCTTCATCTTTTTTCTCCTCCTCTCAAATGTTCAAGTTAGTGCTTACCTTGTTATACAGTTTGATGATTTCCACAATGTATATCCTATCCTTCTAGAGTAGTATCTTCACCATTTTTCAATTTTGTAACATCAAGTAATTGAAACAAATCAATAGTTTCAGTACTGACTTCATTTTCATTAGTGCTCTTTTTAATCACTGATATGGTTTCATTTATTCCAATACTAACATTGTTAACATTAACGTTTCTTTAACGAGTTAGTTTTCTACGGAGTGAGGTTGCGAACTTCCTTTATCCGGTCTTCGGACCGGCAACAGCCCCAGAAGGGATCCAGGCGTAGAATACTAGTTGGTGGCCTATGTTCCATTAGGAGTAAAAGGCGTAAGTAAGTAAAGTAAATAAGATTGTTAACATCTGTGAATTTAGATACAAACCAATTTATATGTGTATAGGACATAGTAAGTATTCTCTAAAACAATTCTTAGAATGAACATGTTTAATTAAACTCTATGTTTTGGTATCTTTCTAAACATATTTCAAGTATAAAAATCATTTGTCAATAATGACAAGGCATGAAAAAAATATATACTTAATGACTCACGTCATGAGTTAATTGAAGCTAGATCCCCATGGAAAACTTGGAAGCACTGGATGGCTGGGTGGGATTGTGGATGCGCACTGCTGAGGAGTTCCATACTGGGACGAATTGACCGTTCAGTTCTTTCAGGTTTTCCACTGTGGCCTAGCTTCAGTTGATTCATGAATTTAACTATCAAATTACTAAAATCTCCACGAAAACCGTTCCCTAATTATAATCATCGTATACTCAGTAATGACGGTCTCCAAGATGTATTTCCTGGAGTTCTAATCAGAAGCAGTGACCAGTGGAGTTAAACCGAGTCTGTTGTCAGATAGTAACTCACTATAAACAACGGTGAATGATGGCTCTGTTTCATGGATTGACTGAAGTCAGACATTATCACCCTTCGATGCTGGCTCAGTGGGACAGAGGCTAAGCGTCCACATGCGAGATCAAAGCTCCTGAGTTCGAATCTTGTGTGTGTGGTCGTAGATGTGCACTTCTAAATAGACATATACTAAGACGAAACGGCCCTCCAGAACTTCCAGGTTTTCAACGATGGTCTAACAACAATCGATTCATGATTTCAATGCAAAAATCATACACTTGAGAACTTTCATACTATTTTTAGATAAATTAGATAGATATTAGTCTACGGTTAAATGCATTCATATGATGTTCTATACAGGATGAAGTATTTTTGTTACATTTTAACAGGAGTTTCCATTGTTCCATTGACTCATTTATCACTGTTTATTCATGATTTCAGTTTGATATTTCTTTTTCAATGGTTAAGATCATGAGTCAGCTGAAGCTAGACCACCATGGAGAACTTGGAAGCACTGGACGGCCGCTTCATCCTATTGTGGGACTCCTCAGCAGTGCGCACCTACGACCTCGCCGCCTGCGAGATTCAAACCCAGGACCTACTGATTTCGCGCGCTAGCACTTAACCACTAGACCACTGAGCTGGCCAACATACAACGATGTTAATGTCTAACTTCAACCAATCCACGAAGTTGTGCCATCGTACACTATTGTCTTCAGTGAGTTACTATCTCACAACAGACCTGGT